ACTACTTGGTGAATATGGTAAATGTGGAATGGCTTCAAAATATTCCTGGGAAATATTTTAGGTTTAGCTATTTAAATGTATTCCCCCCACCCCTAAACATTAGGAAAAAGCTGCCCCTCATCTGTCCTAGTAATAGAATACTTTAGAAAGCTGGTTTTCTATAAGTAAATAGTTGATCTTTACCCTTATCCATTGTGCCATACTCAGATCCTTTAAATAAGGCTATCTGACTCAGAACATATATAGATAGAGATAAGGCTTAACTCGCAGTAGATTCTGTAGTAGTTTCTCTGGCTTAAATTGTATAGACAGAATTTCCAAATGGTGTGCCTCATTCTCTCAAAGACAGCAGATAACCTTGGGAGGCTTAGGTTTGCTAGAGTTGGTAGCATGAAGGGCAGCAAATGAGAGATTTATATGATTTCATGAACTGGTTAAGAATAAAGTTCATTCCTTTAGCTTTAAGGGGCCCTGATTACCCTCCCTTCCTCTGCAGTCCAGTGGAAGTGACATTTGTCATTTTTCCTGTGCTAATGTTTTTGTTCTGTGGCTGCACTGGTGTACATATGCTACAAAGTTAAACTTTACCTGTGTATTTTAAGTGAGGAAAAATACAGTTTTTATCTGAAGAAGTATAATTTACTAATATGCTTCAAAGACCTTGAATAAAAAGTAGCATATAAGGTTAGAAAGCTCCATATTCTCCTTGGCAGAACTAAGAGATGGTGGCATCTGTGCTTCCTGGTGCTAAATTTTGGGGCTAGCAATGGAATTAAAACATATCACTTTTTCTATTTCAAATCCCACTAATATCTTTTTCATATTATTATTTATATGCATTTGTACAGATATATAAATAGGCTACTAATATTTTATGTAATAAATAAAAGCAATAAGTACTAATATTTTATGGTTGAAGCACAGAGATTAGATTTCTCTTGAAAATGTTACAATAAATGTCAAGACCCCTGAATTAGTCTCCTTTATTTGTGTCCTGCCTCCCTGACTCTCCTATACGCCCATCTTAGCTTTTACTTTCCTCTGCCATATTTTATAGTTTCTGTTACAGGTTTGTATAGGGTTCTTTTTTTGTTTGTTTGTTAAGTTTATTTTATAGTGTTTGATGCTGTTGTAACTGGTATTTGAAATTCTGATTTTTTTCCTAATTTCTAGAAATATGAATGATTTTTATATATTGATTTTATCTTTTTCACCCTTGATAAAAATCACTCATTTTCTTAAGTGGCTTTTGCATTTATAGATTTCATTAGATTTTTTGCATACATATGTTCTTTGAACATTCAGTTTTCTTTCTTTCTTTTCAATGTGAATAGCTTTTATTTATTTTTCTTGCCTTATCATCGAGAACTTATAATGCAATGTTGAATCAAAGTGCTGTGAGTGGACATACTTGAGTTGCTTCTGTTTTGGGGTGAAAAGTGGTCAGTCTCCCATCATTATATATGATGTTAGAAAATTTTAGATGCCCTTTATCAGGTTGAGGAAGTCTCATTCAGAGTGTCATGAATGGGTATTGAATTTGTCAAATGCTTTCTTTTCTCTAAGATATCGAGATGATCATATGATTTTAAAAAATTTTGTGTATTATTTATCTTTGTTACATAAGAAATTATCCCATAATTTAAAATTTCAGAGCAACCAACATTTTTTTTTTAATCTCACAGTTTTTGTGGGTCTTGAATCCAGGTGTTTCTTATCTGTGTGCCTCCATCTCTCTGTGTTATAGGTGACGTTCCAGTTAAACAAAAACTGAAATTGCATTTGCACTTGAAGGCTCTACTTATTTGGTTGTTTTAAGGCCTCAGTCCTTCTGTATCTGCCTCTCCACAGGGCTGCTTCAAGATAGGCTGCCCCCCCCCCCCCCCGAAATAGTGATATAAGGGAGAGGAAATGAGAATGAGGGAAAAGGAGGTAGAAAAACAATGCAGAATCTATTGTCTTTTATATAATATTTTCTCTGAAGTAGTATCTCATGATTTCTGCCATACTCTATTGGATACACGTCAATAAATGCAGTCTATAGTTAAGAGTTGAGAATTAAATAATAAGAAGGATACCTAGAAATGAGTGCCATTGAGAACCATTTTAGAGATGCAACATTATGCATTTTTAATCTTAAGTTGACCTTGCATCCTTGAAATTAATACTAGATTGTCATGATTTAATATCTTTTAGATATATTATTGAATTCACTTTGTTAAAAGTGGACCAGTAAAATTTTGTGTCTACATGTTCATGAGAGAGATTGAGCCTGCAGTTTCCTTATAATATTTTTTGTCTGATTTTTGTATTGGTATGATGCTGACCTCAAATAATGAATTGGGAAATAGTCCTTCCTCTTCAATATTTTGGAGAACTTTTGAAAGAATTAGTTTTATTTTTTCCTTAAATATTACTTTATCAGTGGTGCCATTGAGTCCTGGAAATTGTTTATGGTTTTGGCTCAAAATATAATATCTTTAATAGATATGGTCTATTCAATTTATCTATTTCTTTTTGAGGGAATATTGGTAGCTTTTGTCTTTCAGGACATTTGTTTAATTTTGTCTGTGTTGCTGAATTTATTGGTATAACATTGTTCATAGTATAGTATCTGTAGAAATGTTAGTGTTGCTATCTCTCCCATTTCTAATATTGGCAATATATATTTTCTACTTTTTTGATTTATCAGGGTGGCTAGAGATTTATCAAATTTTTATCTTCAGCTTTTGGGTATATTGGTTTTCTGTTTTCTATTTCATTTATTTTCACTCTAATATTTATTTATTTGTTTTAATCTTTCACTTATTTTAGGTTTCATTTGCTCTTCTTTCCCCAGTATCTTAAGGCAGAAGTCAAGATCATCATTTTGAGAACTTTCTTCTTTTGTATATGCATTGTTACTACAAATTTGATTTTGATGTGCCTTTACATATTTTTCTTTGTATTTATTATGCTTAAGTTTATTGACTTTTGATCTTTTGGGCCCAGGTGTAACTGAGTTGCTTCAGTAATGTGACATTCTTTTCTTCACTACTTTAAAAAGAATATAAGCCCTTAAAAATATTGAGTGCTTTTAATGCACTTGTGATAAATTGCTAGGGTTTGATCATGAGTAGGAGATTCTACCTTCAGTCTTTAAAAAAAACATCTTTAGCAGTTTTGTGGTATACTAAAATGCATGATATTATTCTTCACACTTGACTTATAATTGAACCTGTGCTTAGTAGTAGAGACACAATCCTGTCACAAGAGTTGATACTTAATATTTAATTTTAAAAAACAATATCAAAACATAAAAGAAGTTAGTTTGATCATACATACTTTTCTACTTTACTGGTTTAAAAAATTACATAAATTGGCACATTTATTATGTAATTCAGACAATGTAGGAGTGATGAAAATTACTGATCTTATCCTTTATCATGCAATTCCATATGTCTGGAGGTATATGCAGTTAAGCTTAGTGTGTTTCTTTCTATGCTTACAGGCTGATACACCCCAAAATATTAATATCTCTGACTGTTTCTGTATGTGTCTCTGTGTCTGTACACATCCATATACATAGACAAATTTATTCCTCATAAGAAATCAACCATTACATTTTATTCTGAGAAACTTGTAATTTTTACATGAATTATGTGGGTTTTTCTTAAATTTCTTCTGGCTTTCTTCATTTGATAGCATATAAGGATATGAAAACTTTTCATAGAAAAAATCTTTTCTTAGAAAAAGATTCTAAGAGCAATTTCATTTACAGTAATCTTTTCTATAAAGAGAATAATAAAGTTACATAGTCTGTTATCTTGCTGTTGATGTGACAAAATACATAAAATAAACAACTTAAAAGCAGGAAACACTTATTTTTGGCTCGCGGTCACAGAGCTTCAGGACGTGGTCATTTGGTTTTGTAACTTTGGGCCAGCGATGGAACAGAACAGCATATTGGGCAGCAAACAAAAGAGCAGAGCTACTCAGTTCATGGTGATTGGGAAGCTGGAGCCTGTTGGAGAAAGGACCGAGGTCCCAATGCCTCCTTCAAGGGCTTGCCCCCCCTTATCTGGCTTCCTTCCACTGGGCTCCACCTCCTGAAAGTTCCACTACCTCTTAGTAATGCCATGGCCTAGAGACCAAGCACACTAGCCTTTGGGGAACATTTAAGATAAACAATAACTCTTAGGTTTGCAGACAAGTTAGAGACTGCACATTTCCTTCTTAAAGACACCAGAATCTCCAGGGGTTAAGGAGAATTAAAGGGTTAGAACAAAGTAAAAAGCAGAAGCAAAAGTTAGACTAAAATGAGAGTAGAGTAGGCTGTGAGTATGAAGAGAATGAAGATATTGGGAAGGATGTAGAGATCTAGTGGAATAATGAAAACAAACTCTTGAAATGTTAAGTGTTTTTCATTGATAGTGTTATTTCTATATATCTTTTAGCTTTGGACTTAAAAAGAAAAACCCACAATTATCCTCAATTCTTTAGCATCTCTAATCATTAGCTCTATTCTAGTTTGTAGCTGAAATCAAGTTGGAGACAGATTTTATATATACATGTATATGTGTATATATATTCAAACATAATATTTTTAAGCAAAAAATAGTGCCTTCCCCACCTTTAAGCCTGTAGATGATGGTCAGTTGGTTAAAGTGTCTGATTCAACCCAACCTTTTTTTTTTTAATTAAGTCAAGTTACTACCCTCTTAATATTCAGAAATATCCACTTGGATAAAGCATATGACAGAGTTCAAGGACCACGTAAGGCTAGTAGTCTATATAATAAGCTTCTTGATTTAGAGATAATTTTTAAAAATGGAAGCTCTGAGTAAGCATAAAAAGAATGATTGTGAGAATGAAAGGTTTACTGTGGCTTTTAGAATTTGGGCTTTTTGGATATTTCCTGGAGTATAAATTGGCACACTTTCTAGAATGGTAGCCCAGCATGTTTAGTGATATTAAAGTTTCAGTGGAGAATTCTGAATTTAATTTATTTTATTTTCCAGATATGTGTCACAAAGATGTCTACACGGAACTGTCAGGGGATGGATTCAGTGATCAAACACCTGGACACAATTCCTGAGGATAAAAAAGTCAGGGTTCAGAGGACACAGAGCACTTTTGACCCATTTGAGAAACCAACTAATCAAGTAAAGAGGGTACATTCTGAGAACAATGCCTGCATTAACTTTAAGACCTCCTCTGCTGGCAAAGAATCACCTAAAGTTAGGCGGCACTCCAGCCCCAGCTCGGTAAGTGCAGTCTCCTCATTTATCACAGGGTAAACAGGGAGACTATCCCTCTTGTAATAGTAGCACGCTGTGTTGAAAGACAGCAGATGTTTTTATCAGTGTGTTTTTATGGGTTTTCTCCCAGGGTGGTTTAATGTTTGGGAAGGAGAGAGAGGAGAAGAAAATTGTATGCAGACTCTTTAATCATAAGCACCCAGCAAGCAAATGAATGAAATGACTCTATTTTTGGAAAAAATTCTTTTTTAAAAGTTGTTTTTAGATAGAGAAATTTTGATTAAAAATATTTTGTGTTTCAAACTCTTGGAGAGGTTCTTGAACTTTATTGTGTCTGTTTTGATTAGTGAATTCACAAAGTATCATTTTAGAATAAATGTCAAAAGTTGTTCATATGTGGTATTACAGTTTGTTTTCAATGGAAATATTTTTGAACCTAAGAGTTATACATTAAAATTAGTCTTCAAAGAGATATGCTCTTCATGATCATGAAATTTACCAAACTCTAAAGGCAACTCTTTTCTTTTGACCTAAGAAGGTTGCCTTGGTTTGGGTTGCTATAACAGAATATCATAGATTGAGTGGCTTAAACAAAAGAAATTTCTTTCTTACAGTTCTATAGCTGTGAAATTCAAGATCAAGTTTCTACCAAATTTGGTGTCTAGTGAGGACATTCTGCTTGGTTTGCAAATAGCCATTTTTTCCCCTGTATCCTCACAGGGTGTGGGGGAGATCGATCCTTTCCCTCATATCTCTTATTATCTTATTATAAGGACACAAATTCCATTCATAGGGCTCCAACTTTATGATCATATTATCTTACAAAGGCCTAATCTCCTAATACTATTACATTGGGGATTGAAGATTTTCAACATGAATTTTGGAGAGACACAAATATTCAGTCCATAGAAAAAGATAAAATTCTAAGGTTATTGCTGCTCTATATCTGTAAAATTTTTCCTGGAACTCATACTTTCAAGAATGGCCTGCATTTAACATGGTAAAAAAAAATCCCACTGTCATTTGAAATTAAATAATTTTCAGGTTTAATCTACACATAATTTTTTGACTTAGATGTTTAGAAGGTAAGGAAATGCTCAGAGAATTTTAATTCTGCTATCTTTCCAAGAAACACCTGCCATTTCACAAATTTTAAGCTGTAAATTTTATGAAGGCAAAAACTGAGCTTGAAATGTCAACTGCTAGAAGAGTATTGACACTTCAGTTAAATTAAACTGAATGACTTTGCATAATCTTATGGTATATTTTATATTAACAAGGCTGAAGTAAATATTATTAATGTAATATTATTGTGAGAATTGATTATCTGATTATTTCTTAGACATTTCCTTCATAATCCTTACCTGTGTGTGTGTGTGTGTGGGTGTGTGTATCATGTATCAAAGATTCATCATTAACTCCTGGAAGAATTTTTAGATTTAAATTATGTAGGAGAAATGAAAGGAGTTGTTGAGAATGATCAATTCCTAATTATGCATTTTACTATGTAGTTATCATAATATTATAATATGTATCAATGTATAAATGATATATAGAAATTTGCATTCCAGGTATTACAACAATGCATTCTTATACTAAAAAAATTTACTTACTGTGTACCTGAAAATTTATCTGATAATATGTTTTGTCTGGAAATTATAGTCATAATCCACTAATGCATTATTTCTTTTGCTGCTAACTCTTTTGCTTTCTTACTTTAGCCATTGGGAGCTTTTTTAGCTTGTCTCTAGTGTCATTTTGCAGTTTTCATCCCTTTCTTTTGATTATTTCCTTATTTTCTGGTCTTACAAGATGCTTTTGGTTTATATTGTATTTTTCCTCTCTGTGACCTAGAACCAGCCATTTCTCCAGAGAACTCTCACAATGATATTTAGAAACCAAGATCTGGGTAATGAGGGTGCTTATTGCTACTGAGTTCATGCAGTTTTAAAAATCAGTGCATATGTCATAATGTAAAAATTTAACAGTGAGATTTGGATATTTGTTTTTGATTTTTACTCAGGTACTAATTAAAATCATTATCATGGAAAGAGGACTCATCCATCCATATGATATGCTCTGTATTTATCTTTTATTAAAATTAAATTTTATATTTTTATTAAAGTGGTATTTGAACATAGCTTAAATTGTCAAACAGGAGAGAATTCTGGGCATATGGCAGTGGCATAGGTTTTGAAATCCTTCATATAATTAGAGTAGATTATATAGTAAAATCAAAAGCAGTGGATAAGATTTCCAACAAAGTATCTCATGAACCTCACAAAAGGTCTGAGTGAACAAACCATCTACGGTTTTAAGAGCTCTGTGGTATCCGAAAATGTAAGGGAGGACGCTTAGGGAAGGCAGAGGGACAAGAAATGACTCCTCTCAGAACCAGGAAACCCCCAAATTGTGAAATACATGCTGGTGGCTTATTGGGCCATTCTGCAGATAGCAACAGCAACTGGGAGGGTTCCCTAATGGCTCCCTTGAGTAGGCAAGTGCAAGAAGAATCTGGGGAGATATAAAAATATTTGGGTGTGTCTAGTCTTTCTTAGGATATATCTCTAAAATGACAAACTAAAGCACTCCTGCCCTGAATAGAAAATGTTGGAGTGAATTCTGTGTGGGGCAGTTTCAATGGAGGCAAAGAAAGACCACAAAGGAGTGTTGAAGGGAATTGGACTTTAGATACAACTAGTGATTTACAGGATAAAAAGAAACACACCCGGAGAGAATTTTCTGTGTTATATTTCTGTTCCCAAATACGTTTCTTTTATTTTTTTGCCTTAACTTAATATTCAAAATGTATACTCCAATTTTGATGATGTAAATATTGTTCATAGTCAAGAAGCAGAGTGTTCTGTGATTCAACTTCTATCCTTTCCTAGTTTCAGTTGCCTCCTCTTTTCATTTGTTCACAATTAACATGAGTTGTATGATTTTAATCATGAATGGGGGCCTATAACTATTTGACAAAACTATAAAAATCCTCAGAAACAAATGAGAATCAGGTAATCTATCAGATTTTCTCCTGAGATTGTCATTGCAAGTTCTCCCTTGTCCTAATTGTATATGGATTGATTAATCTCTAACTATCTAAACCACCTTCATGAGAATATTATCTTCTTGTTCTATGTTGAATACCTGTTCTCTGGGTTTACTTCTCATTTTACTTCTTGGTTTATTTCACAGTTTTGTAGAAGAGTATTTTCTAGTAGGTGCCGCAGTCCGGCTGCAGCAAAATAACCGGGGGGTGACGAGCAACTTGTGTACATTGATACAGCAGGAGTGGGAGCCGTTTATTGTAGGACAGGAGGGGTATATATATATTACACACAGCTTATCTTAATTAACATAAACTAGATACAGCAGTCAACCAATAAGGAATCTCCACACTTAATGGCTCGCTAGCGTTACTTCACAAACCACTCCCCCTGGCAAAATGCCAGGCGCCATCCTGACTTGTTTACAGACCCTAACAAGTAGGGCTCTTACACATATTATTATGTGCATGTCTTTATTAATGCTTATTATTTGTTCAATAATCTGGCTTAATATATGATTCTAGTTTAGAAAACATTTTTTACTAGACATTTGAAGACCTTGTTTTGTTGTTTTTTAGGTTCCTACATTGCTATTGAAAACACTAGACTATTCTGATTCCCAATTCATTCTTTGCTATCTGCCTTTTTTTTTTTTTTTTTGGTGGAACCTCCTAGGACTTCCTCCTTATCCCTGTTGTAGAACTTTTTCAGGGTATTCAATGAGTTCTTCTCAAGTTTGAAATTAATTTCTTTAAGTTTTAGCAAATATTCTTTTATTGTTTATTTATTTTTTCTTTTAATCTCTTTCTTAAAAAAAAATATTAGATGAATGGGTTACCTTTTTGTTGCTATGACCAAAGTACCAACAAAAATAATTTAGAGGAGAAAAGTGTATTTTGGTTCATGATTTTAAAGCTTCAGTCCATGGCCCAGGTAAAGTAGAATATCATGATAGAGGAGTGCTGCTCGTAGTGATGGGAAGCAGAGAGAGAAAAAAGAGAAGGGGTCACAGGGAAGATGAACCCTTCTAAGGCATGCCTCCAGTGACATACCTCTTCCAACCACACCCCTCCTGCCCACAGTTACCACCCAGTCAGTATATTCAGACATGATGGACTAATTAGATTATAGCTCTCATAATCTAGTCATTGTGCCTCTGAATATTCCTGCATTTATTATAGGAGCTTTTGGGTACACCTCATATTCAAACCATAACAAAGAATGTTGGTACTACTGTGAATTTATCTGCTGATTTCCTTATATTTTCTATTTTAAAAAATTTCCCTGCTTTCTTGGGGTTTATTTGTTTTAATCCTTCCATTGAATTTTTAATTATATAGCATTTATTTCCATGTGCTCTAATTCTTTGGATATTCTTATAAAAATCATCTTAAAAATAATCTTTTCCAATGAATAATAAATCACTTCCTATGTTTCTGAGGATTCTAAATGTGGACTGAGAAATTTTGAAAAAAAAAATTATACCGTCTAAATTATTTTTTACTTTGAGTTCCTTGTTTTGGTCTTTGCCTTGCCTATTGAGATTTTTGGTGGGTCTATATCATGCTAGTTGAAGAGAATTGTTGGCTCTTAATTCACATTATAAAAAGTTGGGAGCTTTGTGTGGCTGGGTGACTTGTGAATTGGTAGGCTTCAGAACAGGGAATTTTATTGAAGGCCCAGTCATTTACTAGAACTCTTAAATGTCAGTATCTCCTGATTTTTTTCCCTCTTCACTGAGGGGTTTTCCACAAATAGATTTACCAGTGTATTTTTATAGTAGAGGATAGGAAAGGTAGCAGAACATGACAGTCACTAGTATGGCAATATGTAAATCAATGGATGTGTAATTGATGTGATTCTGCAATCTGTATATGGGCTAAAAATGGGAGTTCATAACCCACTTGAAGCAAAGTGTGAAAGATGATATATCAAGAACTATGTAATGTTTTGAACAAC